TTTTTGGCAAACACACCTTGCATGTTTTTGGGGTGTCCAGGGCTTGTGGTTGGACCTGCGCTTCAGTTGTGTGAGTTCCTGCGGTCAAGCAACCAAGAGACAAAGAGACAAGTCAACAAGCAGCCGAACAGTCCAGCAGGAGCCCAATTTCAGCAGACGATACGACATGGATTTTCAAGCAATCCCAAACCATACAAACCAGGTAGAAAAGCAAAGGTCCAAATGATGCGAAGCAAAGCGCCGCAATTCTGTGGCCTGAGCCTCTAATGGCGCGCTGTGTTCAAATTGAAGCACATCTGATTGAAGAACCGAAGGCATTTCGTTTGAGCCGGTCCCGGGATCGTGAAGCAACGGTGGACTTCTGCCTCCGCTCCGCCTGCCATTGCTACAAAGCCATAAGCGCAACCAAAACATGCACTTCGGCAAAAGCCTCCACCACATCAGGTGACGGGGCCCGCAGCAGTTTGGACTGCTTGGGAGACTGCTTTGGCGACTGCTTGGGAGATTGCTTGGGAGAGCTGCGCTGCTGAAGCTGTTGCTGCAGGTCGAGCTGCTGCTCCACCACAGCTTTGATGGATTCCTCCTTCGGCTTCGGCTCCAACTCCTCGGGCTCCCGCCTTGGTGCCTCGATGTGGGGCACGAACTGTGGGGCCTCGCGCATGGCTGGTCGCTTTGGCAAAAGAGCGGCGTCCTGCGGAGGATGCCAGAGTCTGATAAGAGCCCTTCATGTTTGCAGCTGGCTGTGGAAACGGGCGTCCTTGGCAGCAGTTGCTACTGCATCCTTCTGAATCACACGCAGGGCTGGCTCACGCATCGTAGCTTTCGTGTGGGCTGGCCTCCACTGCAAATAGAGATGAGCAACTCATGTTTAGCCTAAAAAGCTTGTGCATGCCCCTGCCTCTTTTGCTCTAGGTATCGCAGCCACGAGGACAGCGATGAGCTGCTAGTTGCTTTGCCACGAGAACTGACCGGGGAAAGCACCTGACGTCCTGGCAACGCACTTTGTTGGACAGGTATCTGGCTCTTGTTGCAACCACGCGTCGACGTGACGAAACGAGTTCAAGCTTGGGGCAACGATTCTTCGTTGCGCGTCTCTGAGCTGCTGATAATTCAGGCGAGTTTAGTGCCTGGCAGCTAGCACGAACTCCCCGCACACCTCACGGCCTTGAGCTGTCTCTTGCGGATCATGCTTAGAGACTTCCCTTCTTTCCCGAAGATGAGAATTAGGCCCGGCATTGTTGCGCTATGCATGCTTCAAGCAGCAAGGAAGGGAGCAGCATAAATTCATCGGCAGGGGGTTTGAGAAGCTACTGTAAAACATGCTATACCTGCATGTCAATGCGAGCTGGATCTCAACTGTCTTTACCCTATCAGCATTCTCTGCTGCGCATAATAAGCTACAGCCGTACCAGCATCATCTGAAATCAAAAGTTCCGACCTTCCCGTCCACGGCCCGGTAGCCGCTCTGGGGAGCCCGTGAGCGAGGTGACAAGAGCCAGCCGCCTCGGATAAACACACAAAGAAGTGGGATACACTTGGCAAGTATGTCAAGTTTAGAAACTCTTTTGGCTTGTATGCTTTTGGTCTGACTGATTGAAGCTACATACGGGTGGCCAAGTTTGACATGAGTTCTGCAGCGTTAGCGAGCAAAGCTACCGCAACCGTCAACATGTCAGGCATTGTGATGGAGTCATGGAGTGGTGGAGGATCCCGTGCTTCATGATCCGCACGAAGTATGGATGTGACAAAAACAAGCACGTCGCGGCCTATAAACTCCAGTCTTCAAAAATCAAGCAATGTGCAAGCGCTCTGCTGGCCAAAACTGAGAATAGTAATAATAGAATAACTAATAACAGTAACAAAAATGATAAAATCAATAATAACAAGAAGAAGAATGTTAATAGCGCATTGTATACAACTTGCAAACACACTCGGTTCATGGGCAAAGCCCATACTTTGTTGGTTTTCGCCTCGTCTCGAGGCACCTGATCTCAGGTAGACGGTCACCCCGACACAGCTCAGGCTGCTAAAGGCGCACTACTAGACGGCGGGCAGATGGGTCGCCAGGGTGCTTTCTATACGTAGAAACGGTACGAAACCTGGCTTTTTGCCCGATTTTTACGAAAACCATGGTCGTTGGACATCCTGGAATCTATTGCATTCAGGAGAAGATTTCGCTCTTTGTTACATTGTCTCTCGGTTTCTGAGATTGAGTTTGTTAACTGGAATCCGCAACCCGCAACCTGTAGAGAAAAAGACGTTGTAAATATAAATGTTTTGGGCATGGTCGCCCCAGGCATGGGGCTTCCTTGTTCCACATCCTTGTGCAGTACGTTGTACAAATACGCAAAAACACTGCAAATACCACTGTTTTGGGCATGGTCGCCAGAGGCATGGACGCTTGTGACAACGTGTCTTGTTCCACATACTTTGCGCTGTGTGTTATACAAAGAGGCGAAAACACTGCAAATACCGGTGTTTTGGGCATGGACGCAATATGACTGACGTTCTTATCCCCCCCACCTCACCCCCCCATCCCCCCCCAGCCGAACAACATTTGAAAAAAACTTTCAACTGGCTTGAAAACCTTAACTCCAGAAAAAGCCAGCGGATAGGCTGAGCAGAAAGGCCGAACAAGGCGGAGTGCGCAGCAGCGACGACAGATGCTTGAGACAATGGCTGGGCAACACCAGCCAGAATCTGCAACCCAGCAGCGGCAGCAAGCAGGACTTTCCTGACTCTGCCACTGTCACGAACGGGACCCTCGGCACGGGATGACTGCTGCTAAATGTGTGCTCCGACAAGGACGTCTCCATGACAGAACTCATTGGGCGCACAGTCGCAAGCAAGACCCGTACTTTTGAGTGCGCGAAGGCGGCTGGAAAGCTTACGTCAGCAACCAATTAAGGAAGCAAAACGCGACATTATGGGCAGCAGACCCTTCACGACCGTCACGACCCACCACATACGGGGACTGCCAACAGGTGGTGAGCTGCCTGTGTGAAAAGTGACCGTGCCCAATGCTGATGACATCAGGTGATGCACAGGGGTGGAGTCAGCAGAGGGAAATGTCCAATGTTGCTCCTTTTAGGGGCACTGCTGCGAGCCCGGCCTGCAGGGAAAGGCTGTGCAATACTGCTTAAAGCTCCTTCCAGGTGGCACACACCCGGGACAGAGTAGCTGACTCTGCACTGGCCAAGGGTTTAGAAACGATGGTGGTAACCACCCCCGTCGCAGATCCGACCACAGCTGGGAGGAATACTTACTACCTGCCACGAGAATGACAACGAGCGTGGGCCGGAACTCGGCGTTGCGCGTAGGCAGGTCAGCTGTGGACTTATGTTTCCTCCGCGCAACTCGCGCTGCAGCAGTGGGCTTGGCTGGTGAGGCAGCAATGGGAGGAGCAGGCATTAAAGGTAGCGTATGGTAGCGTAAATATCGCGAACTTTAACTGCAGCCCTTCACGGCACTCGTTCCGGGCGGCTTCCCATGCTGCTGCTATTATGAAGCCCTCGCTTCATTGGCCTCCCCACGGTTTTCGGAAAGGAAGGCAAAGTCCGCACAGGACTCCAAGCCATTCATGTCAAAGAAAAACTGCAGGGGGTCAGTCTCCATCGCGGTTGCTTCAGGAACTCTGATCCTAGCAAGTTTGGCTATGATCCAAAATGCAGCGGATACATATATCAAGGTAAGCTCACGTGTTGCTAGTGTAACAATGATTGCGGTGCACCAAGCCTGCCCAAAGAATTACACAGGTCAAGCATACTATAACCCCAATATGTACCCTATTACAAAATAGTAGTTTCCATTTTCTTTTCCATCATTCCCATATAATATTCTATTATACCCCATTATAGTATGGTAGTTTCCATTTCCTTTTCCATTATTCCCATATAACCCCAACAACCAGTCTTGGCTCAGGACCATCCTTCCGGCCAGCCGGGGCAGAAGTCCGCCACAAGCAGCACAAGCTCCTCGGAGAGAGCCCTGACTTGTGTTCCGTGGTGAGCAGTATGCAGGATCGTATGAGGAGGATCGTGAGATCTTTGTTGTTGGGGCTGGCTTGGAGGTGCGAGGTAATTAGGAGCAAACCCCACTGGTTGGATATAGACCTCCAACAGTAGAAACACCAAATTCATAACGTGCCTCCATTCCAGGAGCACTATCAGCTAGGTTGGCATTGCGCTAAACCTTGGAGAGGAAACCCAAAAACACGTCGGCGGTGAAATGAAGAACATACCTGCGTTGATGAAATCCATCGCTTTGCATGAAACAGCATCAGCCAAAGGACGTGACAAGCCCAGAAAGGTATCCTCCAAACATGGCTGCCCTGGATTTCTAGGAAGCTCCTCCGATTCGACCATTTGCGACACCTGCAGCAGGTAGGCCAGGACCTGTCGTTGTGGTAAAGGCTTCAGCTGCTAGCAGCAGCTGCTGTCCAGGCCTCATCATCGAAGGGCAGGGGAGCGCCCACCCAGCTTTCAAGTTGGAGGCGGCGCCCAGCACCTGCAGCAAGGGGGTGCCTTGGGGCTTCAAAGTTGCCCGAAACATCTGAGGCCGCAGCAGCTCACAGGCTCTGAGATCATGGCATTCGGAAGACTTCGCGCATTTTAGACACTAGGACACTTCAAACCTACAAGGAACTTCTGTCTACTTTGAGCATGTTGTGATCTCTGCTAGGAAGATTAAAAATTGTGCTGCATCATGAGCGTTCATCGAAGCGAGCAGCGGCAACTGCAACATTCCAAGATATCCCGCGCGTGCACATGAACAGAGAAGCAACATGGCCGGGCCACGCGTAGTAGCTGCTAATTGCAATACAAGCTGTACGGTTTTTGATGGTTTTTGCATCAGCTGCCTGCGTCCGACGTGCCAACACCTGGCCTGAACAGCTTGGAGTCTTAAACTGAGTTTGATTCGCGCAGGACCATGCGGCTGACTGGACAGTTAGAAAGTTCGGCACTTCAACGCAAGGAGAATCCGCCGGGTCAGCATTGCTTCTAGTAGCCCCAGCGGGGGCCGCCGCCGAAGAGGTGCACGGGTGTGTGGTGCACGAAGTACCAGATGCAGCGGCCGATGAAGCCGTAGGCACACTCATCGGTCTTGGAGGCCTCGATGACTTCCTTCTGCACAGCGCAGACCTGTCCCCAGACGCACATAAGGCCAGAGTTCTTCTCCCAGTTGGCACCGGCCACGAAGCAGGCGTCGTCCGGGCCCAATGAGGTGGCAAACATGCCTGCACCCCATGGCCAATGCATGTTGGCGATCTTCAGGGGATCGCCGCAGCAGTCGACAGTCTTGTTCTGGAAGAGCAGCCTGTCTATCTTCTCGATGTTCGTGCATGCCACAATGCACATCTCCTCTCCTGGGTACGAGATCTTCGGGATTGGTGGGATGGGCCACTCGTTGGGCTTCTTGCCGGGCTCCTCAACGCAGGAGTAGTTGCAGTCGCCCACTGCGTAGATGCGCGGGTGGCCCTTCTCGTCAGCTCCCCACCTCTTGCCGTCGCGGGTCTTGACGGCCAGATTCTGTTCCTAAAGCAGCACGATGCGAGGCACACAAGCTGGTACGAGTATTAGGGAATCTGCGTTGAGGCTTAGTCTTACCTTTGCCCAGGCACCATCAGGATCCAGCCACCACCACCAGGGCCCTTCTCACTGAGAGTCTCCTTGGGCATGAAGTAGTTCGAAGCCTTGACACCGATACAGACGTACTCCTTGTCGGGCCCAGAGGGCAGCTCGATCTTCTTCCAGAACTCAGGGTCCTTAGCATCGTACTTGGTGTTGTAGAACTGCTTGATGCCCACCTTCGCCATGTACTTTTCCTGCCAGGGCAAGATGGCACAAGTCAAAAAAAGCACAGGGTAGCAGACAGTAGCGCGGCAGCATCAGCAGCATGCTGACAGAGCCCAGGCACGCAGTACTTGGCCGCGTTGGCGGGCAGCGGGCCCAGCGGCTGCGGCAGGAAGTCGATGATCGTCAGCTTCACCTTTGGGAAGAAATGCTGGATCTCCGTGGCCCACTCCACACCGATGAAGCC